CAGTTATTTCTCCACCATTCATTGCTTTCAGCTGGGCCATTAAAAATATATCTTGTTCGGATCTAGAGAGAGCTTGAAACGCTTCACGTAATTCGGCGAACTTTTCTTTTGGATTCCTTTTGAGCAACTACAATCGCAACCTGTCTCTAAGAAACAGATTGCTTTTTCATATTGAGTTGAACCATTATAATTATAATTTTTCATATACGGGGCACCCTAAACCCCGCGCGCTTGGCAATAAGACACATAGAATAAGTGAAGGCATGATAAATGTATTCAGCCTGTTTCCCAATATGTTTTTGAGATTTAATTTGCAATTTGCCCTTCCTCAGAGGATTAAACCTAATGGAGCTTCCAGATTTTGAGCTGCCTACACCATAATATGAAACGCGATCTAGAACATAGTCAGGAAATTCCTTGGAAAACTTGTCAAGTTCACCTTGCAAAAGGTGATCCACCAATGTTTCTGCTTTGGATATACCCATGTTTGTCCAAGATTTGCCAATCCACTGCTTCCACTCATGCAATACCTCCATGTTTGGGACAACGAGTGTGAGTGTGGAAATGTTGACAGCATCTCTTGCAATGCTTGAATGGTTGATGTCCAAAGATAGATAACCTGAATAGTATAGTATAGCCCACAAGGCTGAATCACCCTTTGAATATAGGTTGTCATAACAGAGATCAGATTGGACCTCAACATCCACTGTGATCTTCTGGAGAACCTTGGCTATATTTTCCTTGAACCCAGGACTTGCTCACTGAAGCAGTCTCTGAAGAAGCTCAGTATTTCCTGTTCATTGAGACTTATGTTACCTAGATTTCGTGATTCCTTCAATATAAATATAGGCTTACCTGTGTCATTCCAGTACACATCTAATCGCTTATTATTACAGTATGATAAGACTGACCATGGGTTATATAGTGCAACTCCGATTGTTTGTCATTTTCTAACTGCTCTGCTATTTTGGTTCCAGTAACATAGCCATTATACCATGACTTGATTTCTGTCATTGCATCAGAGGTTCCATGGTGTCTAACAAGACATTCAACCTCTTTCTCAGTAAAGCCAAACTTGTCGTTGTAAACATCGGTGCCATGCAAAGGATATACTGCAAGGTTGTTGAGCCCTGAGAGGAATCCTGATTTTGCTACACAAGTAACTCCAACAAGGAGAGCTTTTTTGAGAGAATCGTTATCCTGCATCATAGATTGTTAATAGCAAATTTATTTTTGCTATTCTCGATAACGCAAAACAAACACTTACCTTCAATAAAGAGTCAAACGATATGTATAAAATTTTTTCGTAAGCATAAATTTATTTATTTCGATTATTGAATGCGCGCTTTTGAAAATATAAAATGCACCAGAGTGATTGTATGGGAGGAAAATACTCGGACCCAAAGCCATTTATGAGTATAACCTATTCTTTGGTCACTCCGGTGCAAATTTTAGGTTTCATTATCTTTTGTACTATCAATAATATTGTCACTATTGTCTATTTCTTCATCTGCGTGGTTTACGTTTCCCTTCTTTTCTTCGTCGATCCAACGTTGGATTGCCTCAATGGTCTTTTTCCGCGGGGTTGTTCTTCGAAGATAAAAATTTCTTATTGTAGATGCAGCAATGGTCTTTTGTTCGTCGAGCAACTTATGAATTTCATACGCCATTTTGTTAAATGAAAATTTTGGATTCTTTCGTCGTATAGTCGTTTTAAATCGTCCCACAACGTTTCGACATCTGGCGAATGAATTTTGTTCTCTGTTCGTTTCGTTATTGGGAACTTTCTGGACTTTATAGTCTTACTTAATATTCTCATATTGTGGAGTTGGCTATTACAGATTAGCCAGTTTACCAATAAATCAAGAACGAAACCAATTAACATTCCAAGGAAGAATTCGCTTGTGAATGTGAACATTAAGGCTCTTATTTGTTGACCTGCTTACCTGATGTTTGTTCACTAGGATCTCCATGGAGAGACATGGCAGGAGATGCAACTGCAGGTGTGGGCATTGATAGCAAAATTGTATGACCAACATTCATTTGTCGATGAAGTGCTGTCTCAGGCGGAGAAGGTCGATTTTGGACGAATACTTGCTAAAGATGATATGTATACTGAATGGAGTACGAGCTTACGGGCACTCTCCGAATATCTTGAACGTTACCACAGAAAGAAATGCATCATTCTAGTTGATGAATACGATGCACCCATAAATACTGCTTTCCAGCATCAATACTATTGTTACGACGAGTCGGTCTGATGATTCAGTCGATTGAGTCATGTGATAAAATCTTCCTCCGCAGTCAAAATACTACCCGCAGCGATCTAATTT